CTTTTCCTGACAAGTGCCGATGTAAATCTCTAGGCTCTGCAAATTCACAAAACTTGTCCGAGTTTTAGGCAAAATTGTGCTTCCTCTCACAGCGATAACATCCTCCTATCAAGAAGATTAGTAGTCAGACCTGCACGAATAGTGCGACGAAGAGCAAAGCATGGTTGACATAGGCTCCCTACAGACTCTACCTGGGTGTCCTGTGTGTGCTCTGAATTTCGGTGCACAAAGTTTTTGATCGTCCACAAAAGGCACTTTTGTTACAATCTAACAACGTTTAACCTTTCGTAGTATTCACATCTAAAGCTGTGCTCTTTGCAAGACAACAATTAGCTTCCTTTATCAACACAAATCTAGTTATCTTTGCAGACGAGAATTTTTCCGTCTATTTATAATCAGTTCATTATGGCCCGCGAACTATACATGTCGCATTGAACCCAGATCAGCGGTTTTTGCGTACGTTGACATAAACGCTTTCGCTCGACACCACGGTATTGTATCTAGCAGTTTGTAAGTTTTCTGTGAACAAGACTCTGTTCTATCTAGCCTCCGATGCACGCAGTAGCATTGTATTATGAGAGGTGCCACCGACCACCATTTACCCGCAGCAGTATTTTATTGATCTTCATTGCGCCTTAACGAGACTCGTGAGAACAGGATACACGAAAAAGGCACAGTGAAATCAACAGAACTTGAAGAGAAAGTTGTTGAAAAGATAAAAGCTGTTCATTGAAATGCTGTGTTAATCGCTTGTGCTCTGACACTTAGCCTGCGCTGACGCTATACCAAGTAAACTTCTCATCGATTAGTAAAAAAACTACGAGGTTTACTAAAAGTGACATCATCGGCTGAGAGAACAGTGAATTTTTTTTATTCCTCGCGTGTAACATAGTGTAACTTCCGCTGATTACTGATCTCTTTTTTACATTTTAATACTATGTTTTAGCGTAGTATTAGCATTCATATGTTCTATAAAACCGAATACCTTTTGCGGGCAGCAATCAGTCGCAGGGCCTTTTCTAATTGCCACCTCAAACAAGGCACAATAGGAAAATCAGGTATCATTTCAATAAAAGAAGAACCTATATAGAGCGACGGATATACGAGCGGCTTTGTGCACCCGTTCGTGATCAAAAAGGAAAAACTCGATCGGGTTAATACATGTCAGTGATCTAATAGCAGTCTGAGCCTAGTAATAATGCACACCTGATTACCTAGGCTAAGAGAAGGTTAACAAGCAATCACGGACGGAACAAGCAAAGTACACAGTAGGTAAGCCAAGATCGATAATGGACTGATAGACACGCAGCGAAATCGAGAGGCCTAGACAAACAACGAACACTTCAGCCTCGGTTGTTTTCGGTATTTCAGGTCTTCGTTCATCGTATAGCTTTGTATGTGCATTGCCCATCATGGCTGCTGTTGAACGATGCAGTTGCCCCCCACCGACGTATCCCAATAGAGAATTGGGTTGCGCAGGGAAATTTCTGCAGAGCCCGAGAACGGCATGGGCTGTTGGATGACTCAGCGATAAATAGGCGTATCGATGAGCAAACGAAATTTAATCGAACTAACACTCTTCAGTAACTTTATTTTCAGCGGATCAGACGACCGATGATATAAAAAATGCAAAAGCTTTGTAAAGTACTACATTAAACTATTCAATTATGTGCCATACTCTAGATTGTTTTAGTTGTTTTCTATTACTAGGTGTTTAAAATACAGTCAGACATCATGCATCTGTGCTATAGCGTGATAGTGATTAGCAATCTTGTTCGATAATCTTCCAAGTAAAACTAACGAAGATTTTCTATAAGTAAAATTAACCCTTATCTTCCATCGTTGGTAACGATCAACCGTTAAAAGCGCTAAGTATCATTGACAAAGATTGTTGATAACTATTTCTTATTAAGCTTCTAAATTTACGTGGAATAAGTATGGATTAAAGTGATTCATTTAGAAATTGTTAATTTCAAAGATAAGGACATGGTATATTATTATCCACTATTGATTTGGCTTTTCAAAAACGAAATGAAATTTCTCGCCCGCTCCTCTAATCAATTTATGTTTCGACAACCACAGTCGATACAAAATTTCTCCAATTCTCACAAATTTCTTATTAGAAAAAGCTGGACTGTACTCGCGTTTGCTGCCCCATTTAATCATTTAAAAGACCTACTCCTGGCATTCGATTGACGCTAAGATGACGTCCTCCGCTATTTATTTTTGATATAAGACCGTTGTGTATTCAAGAAGAACGATAGCTATCTTTAGATGTAATCCATTTCCAGTGGTGCTGTGTCTTTATTTAATTTCTTGTCAGAACTGCAAAAAAAAAATAATTACCATATTATTAATGAAGGTTCTACTGAC